ACGAAATCAAGTCCCGCCCTCTCATTTCAGATGCCGTTTCACTCGGATATATGTCACAGTAGAGAAGAAAAGACAATCGCAACTTCCGTTTCATGCCGACTTTAAAACGCACAACATATTAAAGCGTTTTTGGTGTTTCCATGTTTTCTACAAAACCGGAAATCGAGGGGTTATGACGTCATTGGCAGGCGACACAATGACACTATGGACATGCTCCGTGTCACTAGTTAAAATTGCTTATTTCTCTGGATTTAAACATTCTTCGAAACATTTGGGATAATGTAAGTACACAAGTCAGCAAAATATGTAACACTGTTCTAGTGGTTTTTGGATATTTGAATAAAGAAAATCTTAGATATTGTGCCTTTAAGTTATAATCCTAAACAGAAATTGAATATCTTAAAATGTTTGCCCATTTCTAAATTTGAAAATTCATTCGTTGAAAATTGACTAATTAACAGTCAGTATGTCCAAAAAAAAAAAAAGTCTTCATCGTGCTGTAAGCAACCCATTTTACTCCAATGATTAGCAAATACTTCCTCAGGGAATAAGCCAATTACTGTAGGACTCACATACTGTCCAAAAATGCTAATTTAGAAATAAACTATGCTATGTTGCATATGATAACATTTTAAATTAGCCCTGGACATTATTTTTGTTTCATTAATATTCAGCCCCAGTTGTTGACAACAGACCAATTAGCAAGAAGAGAAACATGAACGCTGTGTATATTTGCACAGCATAAGGGTTGAATGCAAGGTTATCTTTACCGCACTACAAAGGACGAACAGCCTCCAAGGTACAGGATTACTTGCTCTGCACCTCACTGAACATGTGCCAGTAATGAGTGTACGTGTCCTTGTGTTTTATGTGTTTATAAATATAGTATTCAGGAATTGTCCTTGGTCACCTGGTAAAGTCTGCTGATACTGGCACCATGGTTATTATTTTATTTAGTTTTATTTTTTATTTTTTTATCCTGCATGTCTCAGCTGCCACTGGTGGCCATCGTAATATTGGTTCATGCTCCCTAAAGTCTTTACACCCTTGTGCCAGAGCAGTCGGCCATCAGGGAACTGTCTTTGAGATTTTCTGGTTCAAATGTGTCTGTTAAATGACACAACAAAGTAATATAAATGGACTGTTTGCTGCACTAAATTGATGGTGTACAGTCTTTGGCTGCTCAAATTCACCTTGGGTTTGTACTGAATTATAACTGGAAACAGTATAGCACCTATTTTGAAGCAATCATTCAGAGCAAAACAAGCTTTTAGATATCAAATATGTCTTGCAAAACGACTGTTACAAAACATACTTTTATGATAGTTGTGTTTCAGACTTGCAGTATTCTATAACAGTTCTGTTTGTATTGATTGCCTTTCCTGTAAATGTAAGCAACAAGGAGCTATTTTATAGTTCTTTATCCGTCTTTATCTTTGAAAACATGTATGCAGGAAGTAAACCTGGAGTATGTGTATCAAATCTTAATACATCATATTATGCAATATAGAGTTAGCCAATGAGACAATGTCTTTCAGCAAAAAATGAGAGAAAAAATGGGTGTGACGCTAAGCCCAAAATATTAAAAAGATCATGGGAGGAGTCCAGTATAGTATCAGAAGAAAAAAATCAGTTTTCCTGCTTTTTTTCTTTTGGGAAAAGCATGCAATTTTGGCAAATCTTTCCCCTGACGGGGATTAAGAGGCTGATTAGGCTGATTAATGCCTCCCGCTCCATATCAGTACCCTTTTTCTTTTATTTATATTTAACTGCTACCCATGAGACTACAGGCATTACAAGCATCCCAGTGTTGTTTGGTTTCCAAGTAACATTTTTTACTTGTGAATGAAACAGAGCTGTCAGAAATGTCCTCTGTTGAACTAAGTTTGACTTCATCTCACTCTTAGTTGAATTTGTGAAGCATGTCTCATCAGGCAGAGTGAGTCATCAAACTGGCCTTTGGCAATCTAATTGATAAACGGCATGAATCAAATGTGATGATGACAAAGATGTTTTACACAACTTTTAAACAGTTTAAAGTTGGCCCTGAATCCAAATGCGTATATTAATCAGATATTTTGACACATCTCTTCAGCACTGTAAATCGTCAGACCACCATGACCAAAATCCCGCAGGCAGATGGCAGCGAAAAGACTGATTTGTTATACTTATCAAGAGTGATTTGACTGATTTCACTGGATTGAATTTACACTGAACAACAAAAAAAGTTCACCATGTTTGGTAGTGAAATATCACTGGCTGATTCTCATTTCATTTTATGTGCGCACAATGAACTTAAATTGCAAAATGTGAGTTTTCCTTTACTGTAAAGTAGTATTATTAGATACATAGATTGAGCCTTATTCACAAAAGCCACATCTTGGCTGTTTATAAGTATTGCTCTACCACTGGAAAAAATCCCCTTGGTGGTGAAGTCTTCATCTGCCAAGATATATTTCTCAGACTCCAGCAGTCTCAAAAACCATAAGACATCTCTGCCTTTATCCTTTGTAGAGCTTCAAAATATTTGTTCAAATGGGGCAATTTATCCACTGTCCTTCAGTGCTTGTGTAAATAATCTTGAATGAGAAGCTCCTTGGTGGGATTTTTATAGTTTCACATTTTACCTTGTGCCTCAACACAGACCCCATCTTGGGTTACATGAGGACACCACTAAATGCAGGAGTAAAAAAAAAAATATTCTGCAATACTTTTAAATACAATAAGCCATTTTAAAGGAAATGTTCACTCAAAAATTGCTTAAAATTGACTCACCTTCAGTCCATTTAAGATTTAGATGAGTTTATTCATTGGAACAAATCTGGAGAAATTTAGCATTACATCACTTGCTCATGAATGGATCATCTGCAGTGAATGGGTGCCGTCAGAATGAGAGTCCAAACAGCTGATAAAAACAACACAATAATCCACAAGTAATCCACATGAATCCAGTCCATCAGTTTGAAGTTAAAAAGTGAAAGTGAAAGTGAAAGTGACGTGACATGTGGCCAAGTATGGTGACCCATACTCGGAATTAGTGCTCTGCATTTACCCATCCAAAGTGCACACACACAGCAGTGAACACACACCCGGAGCAGTGGGCAGCCATTTATGCTGTGGCGCCCCGGGAGCAGTTGGGGGTTCGGTGCCTTGCTCAAGGGCACCTCAGTCGTGGTATTGAAAGTGGGAGAGAGCGCTGTACATTCACCCCCCCCACCTACAATCCCTGCCGGTACGAGACTCGAACCCGCAACCTTTGGGTTACGAGTCCGACTCTCTAACCATTAGGCCACGACTTCCTCTTTGCCCTATATCACGACTTTGGTATCGGGGCATTTTTAAGAGTACAAGTACAGGAGCTCAGTATCGGGCACGATACCGATACCAGTATCGGTATCGGTGCATCCCTAGTAATTATATATAAATAAATCGGTTTTTACCGATGCAAATATGTTAGAAACGA